TCTAGTGGGAGGTGTCCCTGCCCATGGCAGGGGGGTTGGGACTGGATGGTCTTTAAGGTCCCTTCCAACCCAAACCATTCCATTCTGTGTGTGAAACTGTAAATTATTAGTGGTCTTCATCCTAAAGGCCAGAAGGCAGCGTCACTAACACACACTGACTCTCTGGGAAAGCAAGACTGAAACAATGCAAAGTAGTACCTCTGCAGGCTGGTACAAGACCTTGAAAAGAGTAGGACCTAGTACATCCACAGTATATGCCAGGAGAAAGTCAATATGAACACAGCATCCATTACTTGGGCTACATAATTAGAGGTAGCTATGCCCACTCAAGACATACGGAAATAAAACTTTATACACAGATCTTCTGCTAAGTTATTGTGATTGAAGCCCAGACAGCAACTCAGCACCACACAGCTGCTCACTCACTTCTCTACCAGTGGGATGGGAAGGAGAAAATACAAGGAAAAGCCATGGGTGGAGACAAGAACAGGGAGAGATCACTCACCATTTACGGCCACAAGCAAAACAGACTCAACCTGAGAAAGAAAAATCAATGTAATTTGTTACCAATTGAATCAGAGCAGGACAATAAGAAATGAAAACAACTCTCAACATACCTTCCCCCCACCCCTCCCTTCTTCCCCAGGCTCAGCTTTGCTCCCCCCTTCTCCACTTCCTCCCTGCCAGCAGCACAGGGGGACAGGGAATAGAGGTTCTGGTCAATCCATCACATGCTACCTCTGCCGCTCCTTCCTCCTCAGGGGAGGATCCTCACACTCTGCCCCTGCTCCAGCACAGGGCCCCTCCCACGGGAGACAGTCCTCCAATGTGAGTCCTTCCCACAGGCTGCAGTTCTTCACAAACATGCTGCAGTGTGGGCTCCTCTCTCCATGGATCCACAGAGCCTGCTCCAGCATGGGCTTCCCATGGGGTCACAGTCACCTTCGGGCATCTCCCGGCTCCAGTGTGGGGACCTCTCTGGGTTTCAGGGGTGTCTCTGCTCCCCTGCGACCCTCCATGGCTGCCGGGCCCCGCCAGCCCCCCCCACAGCCGGCCCTCTCACCACAAGCTGCAGGGGCTCAGGTTCCCTCCTCCCCACCTTTCCACACTAACCTGAGTATCTACGCAATAATCCCACCCCTCTCTTCACTGCTGCTTCTTTGTTTTGCCCTCTTAAATACATTAATCACAGGGGTGCTAATTGGCTCAGCTGTGGCCAGAGGCAGGCCCTGAGAAGCTTCCAGCAGCTTCTCACAGGAGCCATCCCTGTGGCCCCTTCCCCACTACCAAACCCCACCACCCAAACCCAGT